TCTATCCTTATTTAAATTGGCTAGTCGGTACGAAAGTGTGCGGAGTTGTCAAAGACTAGATGTGAGTGATTTTGTAAGTGAATGAGTTTTGGACCTTCTTTGCTAAATTCAGTATGTAAAAGTTTCGGACCATTCTTTGTTAAATTCAGTTTGTTTAATTTTGGACAATTCTTTGTTAAACTCACTTTGTGAAATCCTAAGAAATTTTTTGTAAAATTCAGCTTGTTTAATCTACATAATTTGTTCTAAATAATACTTGTTAAATTCATATTGTTGGTTTCAGAGGTATTGTAAATAAGGCAATGGCACAGTTAAGGACCACAATTTTGGTCTGGTGTCCCTACGACATCTCAACTCACTCCCGTACAATGTGATTAGGCCAGGATTTTTTACTCCGACTTCCACTGCTCCTTAAATCAATATGGACTGAAATGAATTAGCTGCCTGCTTCAACTTCATCCTTTGGACATCCTTTAAATACTCTATCACTATAAAACATTCCTCTTGTACCTTTAGAAGGTCAAGACTACTACCTTATATGGGAGGCAATATTCAACAGGTGACAATATCTTCCAGCAAAATATAAAGTTGTTTATGTGTATGTCCAGTAAGGCTGTCAGGGGTACCCAAAATGACCCAGAACCGCAGTACAATTAATACGGGTCTGGTTTGGTTATGTTTTTCCAGAATTCAGTTCGGTTCCAATATGTACAAAAGAGTTTATTTTACCATAGAAATGACATCTAAAATGCTACATTCATCAGTACATTTCCATTATAATGCGATTTAAATAATTTGGTACCATTGCTTTCTAGTCAGGAAACTACTTTAAACTAGTTATGTTGCTTTTTCTCAGATTTAATAAATGGACCTTTTACTTCAAACAGTTGCTCAATCTTACCTCATACAGAAACGTCATGGCTGCTACATCTGTCTATCAGTTATTACCTCCCCTTGTTTTATATCACTTTCGTTTCTAGGAATGTATTATTGCTTTTTTATAATCCGCTTTGCAGTTTATAAAGCGTAAACTGACCCAAACCAGGTTATCATCAAATAATTTTGCCAAGAATTAGAGTCATTCCTTAATTAAACCATACTACATGTATAACATTAGTCCTTCAAGACATAGAAGCTATACATAAATATTTACTCATTGTACTGAGTTTATTTTGACAGGTCTCCCAGGATGTGCTGTTTAACTATGTAAACCTAAAGAAGATGAACAAACCACCGTTTTGACAGGTTTAAAAAATCTTTTACTTTTTAGCTCACCTTACCTGAGACTCAGGTGAGTTCTTCTGATCACATTTTGTCTGGCGGGCGTCCATCTGTCTGACTGTAAACTTTTCACATTTTCGACTTCTTCTCAAGAAACGCTTGGCCAATTTCAACCAAACTTGCCACAGAGCATCCTTGGGGAAGGGAATTCAAGTTTCTTCAAATGAAGGGCAATACCCTCATTCAAGGGAAAATAATTGGGAATTAATTACTGTATAGGGGAAAACGACTCGCGGTGTTACATGTAATAGTCGCTATATATTAAAGGGGTTTTAAAACCGTGAATTCAAGAAACAGTGAATAAATTTTCAATAAATCCTATGTTTTATTTGGAAATTTGATGTAGATGTACGCGTAGTACATGGTCATTTAAGTTATTACGAGTAGTACCGTCATTCAATTATTTTAATTATAACGCTTTACTGTAATTCAATTCGGCAGATAATAACTTGTGACTCTGTTTGTTCAAAAGCTGTTTTAATACCCAACGCTAGAAATCAATTAAAAAAATGTGAGCCATACGTTTTGACTGTGCGTAACTAATGTTACCACGTGTATTTGTTACCTGCATTATCATAAGCATATTAGTTCATGTTGTTTTTATCGACATTTTGGTTTTAAAAATCATTTAAATAAGTATCGAACTTACTGAGGAATGGAAGAATATCATTTCGTAGAACTACATAAACACATTTATTACCATCCAGTGCTTTTTCGCCGCGTTGTATTGAAGATGTTGGGTGCTTATGCTCTCATCGTAATATCATATAAGAAAGTAATAACTGCACTTGTGTTGATTAACTATTTCTTAAATCTAACAATTTTATATTAATCTATACCCTGTTGTTCGTGAAATAAAGACATAACGCTGAAAATGTTGTAGCTATGGTATGGATTAAACAGGATATAGACAAGGGAGATAACTTCTATTTTATATACCTATTGCGCGTCAAGAAACCGCTATCGTGTCGTGGGTAGGGCGGGGCCACAATAGCTGATCAAAGTTTTACATAGGAAAGTATAGGAAAAATCTTTGAAATCTTCATCTCTAGAAACACTGGGCCAGGAAAGATGAAACTGAAGTGGAAGCATCATCAGGTAGTGTTGATTTAAATTATGACCCCAAGGGGTAGGGAAAGGCTATAATTGATGATTTAAGTTTTACATAGGAATGAATACTTAGGAAAATCATTTTTTAACTCTTCTTTTTAGGAACTATAAAGCCATGATTGGTCATATCTTTATGTAAGCATCCTTACGTAGTGTAGATTCAGATATGTTCAAGTCATGAATTTGAAGTAGGGGGTAGGTAGGGTGGGCCACTATTGGAAATCTATGAATATTAAGGAATTTTATTTCCCCAAGAACAGAAAAGCAATGTTTTATCATATACGAGAATTGTCCCAAAAAGTCGTAGACAATGTTTATATTTTTTAATCATGCAACCAATGCTTACCAAATTTTGCAAAGACATAATATAGTCAATGTTCTTTAAAATTGTGAATTTTAAATACATATCTTTCATATTAATAATATTAGGACGATTTATATGAAGGCCGATAAGGCATGTCGGCGCACGGACAAAATTCCGAATAATTTACGAATATAACTATTACATTTGCTTTTATTTCTATAGTACTGTATAATACATTGAACTAAAATTTAAATCAATAAAACCGGAATAAAAATCTTCATATCATGTCAAAATTTCATAAAAATATCATTAGAAACAGACGATTGGATTTTAGATTTTCATAGTATAGTTGAAATTGAGTTTGATGAAAATGACGTCGTCATACGCGTAGTCGGCGCACAGAGACGTAATTAATTGTGTTGGATATTGTTTATATACATCAGAGACGGGGAAAAAGAGTAAAGACGTGATATTACACACCATATTTTAACAATGAATTTAATTTCAAAGAGCACAATATTCAATGAGTTTTTTTTCTGTACCGAAAATAGTTAATTACGGCATGTAAGAAGTAAGGTACTGTTTGATAAACGCAGACAATTTGGAAAAATCTGGACCGCGTGCAACGTCAAACAATTTGTATTCTCTGTTGCCTACAATGTAAGGCGATTTTTCGACTAAATTTCGACTGAAATTTGAATCTGATTTAAAAAAAAAACAAATATAAAACAAATGGGAAGTAGTAAATTTAGATATGTCTGTTAATCAAGAGTCAGTGGATTTTCACTTTAAAAAATTATTGAATGTTAATACCCGCTAGTGAAGCATACAAAGAAATCATGACGTTATAACAGACGTAATTTACGCTTGCTTTCGTGCGCCGGTGTACACTTATATTCTTTCTTTATTTTTTCATAATTTTCCTATAAGATGTGATATCATCATGAACTTTGAAGTGAATGATTAAAAAATATTACTCTTTCATATGACAAGGGAAGAAATTTAAGAAAGCAAAGGGAAACAAAACTGTTTTACATGTCTACGACTTTTTGGAACAACCCTCGTAGATATAGAGGCGTCCTCAGGTAGTACAAAATCAAAATGGTTCAAATGAGGGCTACCACGGTTAGTGTTGGGCCACAATAGGAGGGGGGTCAAATGAATAAATAGGAAAAAATCATCTGCTCAAACACAGTTAAGGTATTTGTTGTATGGAAGAATCATCAGGTATTTAGTAGTTTAAAATTTCAGACCCATCATCTAAAGTACTCAATGCTGAAGTGATTTCTGCTATTATTTCCTGGCCATAGTGCTCAGGTGAGCAATGTGGCCCAAGGGCGTCTTGTTATAATTCTGTTACAATGTACAATTGTGATACCTATCTATAGAGTCTTATAGTTACTGTAACACTTTTCTATCTAACACTTTATTGTAATACTTATGAATTAATAATGGTAAGAATGCAGATGTTATCATGATTTTTCTTATATGAATTACAAAGTTTACACACTGAAATGTAGATACAATCGAAAGAATGTCAGGTTTTAAATGATTTCATGTTAACATCTATAAAAACATTAATTCTTTTCCAGTATGTAACAATTTATATGTGTTTTAATTTAACTATTGCTTTGTTAGACAGGTTTAATTGAGAACACTTGGAGGCTGCTATGAATGAAGACAAAGCATTGAAAAGCAAGTGTCAATGTATATAAGGAATGAAGCTAATTTCAAATTTTGTTATCCGATATTACATAACTTGGGGCAGTTTAAGCTTTATAAACCACAAAGCGGTTTATAAAAAAAATGTAAACTGTCCCAAGTTATGTTATATCGTATAAATTAAGTTGAAATTAGTTTGATTACTTATAATTTAATTTCAGTGTAGACAATGAGACAATTTTTCCTCTGGAAAAAGGCTTCAAATAAAGCATAATTTAAAAGTAACGTCAAGCGGAGTAATATTTTTGACGTAATTCATTGTGACATAGGCAAGTTATGTTATCCAAAATGTTATATTATGTTCCTCTGAATGATTCAGCCAATGAAATTGCTTGGTTCAAGTGAAATTAAATCATTTATGTTTATCTGGTAATTCTATTTTATTGTTTAAACACTGTATAAGTACTTTAAAAATCAAAACATATTACAGTAAGTACATTTATTATTTAAAAAAAGAGATGTGTTCCTGATGTAGGTAATTCTTGAACAATGTTGTTATTTACAGAGAGAGATCTCTGACTGAAGGAAATCAACAGAGGGTTATTAAGTCACAGGGAAAAGAAATAGAAGTCTGGTGTCTGTGATGTATAGATTGGTGTTAAAGAAATCTGTCACAGTGTCTGGTATTAGACAGTGTTATCACATTACCCACGTGTCTACAGACCGGGTCTGGATTAGTGATGAAGGCAATCTCATCTTAACAAGCACGACAGGTGACACACTAGATCGTGTGACAGATTTACCTGAATATGGTTATGGAGTACATACTGTGACTCGCGATATTGAAGTAATTTATATAGACAGTCACCGTAACATCATTAAACTGTCTACAGATAAAGTAAAGACCACAGTGATATCAAACAACACATTACCATGGAAACCATACTGTGTCTACAGCTCCCCCTCCACTGGAGACCTGCTGGTTGGGATGTACAGACGTAATACAGGTACAGGCAAGGTAAACCATTACACTAACACAGGAGAACACATACAGACCATAGAGCATGACAGCACAGGTCAGAGACTGTATAGTGGACCTGGATACATCACAGAGAACCGCAATGGAGATGTTATTGTGTCTGACTCAGTCCGTAATGCTGTAGTGGTGACAGACAGTAGAGGGAGACATCGCTTCACCTACAGAGGTCACCCATCAGGATCAGGACTATCACCAAGTGGAATCTGTACTGACGCGCTGTCACACATCCTGGTGTGTGATTATAACATAAAAACAGTACAGATGATTGATAAAGATGGTCACTACCTGACTGAGTTTGAGACAGAACAACACGGGATATACGGACCATTCGGCCTGAGTTATGATGACATCACCAGGTCTTTCTGGCTCGGTTCAGACGACAACACAGTGAACATCTACAGACTTATCTATGGAGGGGATAATCTGACTGGTAAGTAACAATGAAGTATAATTACATGTTTGTTTACAATGTTTAGTGTGTACAATATATTATAGTCATTGTTTGTATTTAATTATAAGACATTAAGGTTTAATAATACTGATTGTATGAAGTTTAATTACAAATACATAGTTAATTGAATTCTAACTTGTTGTGTTATGTAACAAGAAATGTTTCTTAATGAGGATAATTTATTAGTAACAATTAATAACAAAATAATTTAGCAAATAATATACTTTACATTTAATAAGGGTCCTTTAAAAGGGCTCGAGCTGTAATTCGCCATTGTCGCCAATGGCGATTTTTTTTCCAAAAGTGGCGAAAAGAAATTCATAAGTGGCGAAAATGTTTTACTGATGTACCAAGTACAAAATTTGTGTAGTCCTGGCTAGCTCCTTTGTTTATTCAATGTACACAGATAAGTTCCTATAATTATATAATGCAGCAGAGGTGTGAAAACTGACACCTACATGTAGGGAATCACGTCTCGCTTGAACGAACACAGCTGACTAGGTAACTGACCTGGGGCAATAAAGGGTTACAAAATTGCTTGACATAATATAATTTGGTTTCAACAAGGGGGTATTAAATGTTATTAGGATATGAAATTAGAAAAAAAAACAATTATCAACAAAATCTGGATCTATGTAGATCTTTTTTTTAAACCGAAAGTAGGGAAACATGATGAAAACTGTAAAGAATGGCTTTAAAATTTACCTAATTAAAATTGAAAAATCTGTACATTAAAATACCATAAACTGACAAAGAGTGAAAGAGAAATTGGTTTGGAAACAGAATTATCTTTAATTAGTAAATTACGCTGAATTAATTACAATAATATGAGCTTGCCATGAACTTGCATATTAAACAATGGAGTCTCCAAGTTGTTAAAATAAATTCAATTTTCAAACCTAATACTTATTACTTTTTAATTACATATATTTTCATAATTGATTGATGAAATTATAAAAATTGCCATTCTTGAAAAATGTCATATTTTTACTATGTCTTTGCCCCCCCCCCCCTTTCACACGCGAAAAAAAAAACAAGAGGACATTTTCTGTCAAGAGTTGAATGATATCATTTCAATATCATATTTATTGTATAATTCCAACATAAGATTTTATTTTAATGGATACTACCATAATTAAAGCTTTAAACATTACAAATTTAAAACAATGTCTGTGTCAAATAAACATAATTGAAAAAAAAGACTAGCATAAAGTACATTGCATCGTCGAGAAATCAGATGCAAGTATGCCTTTCCTTTTGTCGCGAAAAGTGGCGAAAAACATTTTTGGTTCAGTGGGAGGCTTTTAATATATTTATTTAGTAATTAACTTTAATGTCTTTGACAGACTACTCTTGATTTTATACAGATAAGACTTGACATAGATTTTGTATCATCATGATCTTGTATAATGTATTATAAAGTGTGAAGTAACCTGACTGTCTAATGTTCTGTTGTATAACTCTCATTAGTCCCCTACCCCTGCATATAGGCCAGCATATACGTAGATTATGTCTTTCATAAAGTATAATGTAGTATAAAGTATGGAGTTCCCTGACTATCTACTTATGATTTGTAAAATATTTCTCATCGATACTGTCTTCTATTTGGGTTGGCATTATCATGATTATATTTCATGTTTGTAGGTTAAACTTATAGATCATTATAAATTTCAGGAAATAGAAAAAATGGTTGTAAAATTGGTCTGGGGATCATTTGTGTTGGAGGGGGAGGGGGTCTATGTCATAGACCTTATCACTAGATGATATATACTTTGAATACGACATTCAATGCATTCAAACAAAAGGATGATTGCACGTAACCTATGAGAGTTTGTTCGCAATATCTTGCACAAAATAAAATCCCGATTTTCATTACATTAGTGTTTTATAGATATTAAACAATGACTGAGAGCATATTTGTGCATTTTATATTACATGGAAGTACTAAATAATGCCGTGCCACACTAGTTTGAGACAGGGGTCTAACAGTTGCCTCATTTCTATTGTTATTCATATGCATACCTGTTTTCAATGACTTTGTTTACATCGAGCTGCAATTTGGCCATTTGTCTCATTTGCACAGAACGTGTATTTTGATTTAAACATAAACATATACAAATAACAATGCGGCTCATATCTTATTTTTTGAAAAAAGTTTCCAAATTACCAGCCGTCAAGTTAGCCCCAATGTCAACAATTGATATTATAATCACTTTACTCACAATTCGATACGCCAACAATTTATGGAATATTTCATTGTTTATGTCTGCCATAGTCAGGAAATGAATACATCAGGTGGTTTGTAGCTAGATTACCTTTAAAGATCACAACAAATCTCAAGAAACAGGAAAAATAGTTGTAAAATGGGTATGGTGTCAATGTGTGTGTTTGTGATGAGGGTATTGAAATAAGGGGACTTTGAGGTCAAAAGGGGGGGGGGGGTTATTTCCTACTTCTTATCTTTAGATGATATATGCAGTTCTTTTAATAATCCAATTAGACAAAGTTTAATCACAGTGACTACAAACATTATGTAATATGTTGACAGTTAGATATAGACACCGTTGATATTAACAAGCTCTGTCCAGGAAAGGTTGTGTATTTCTGTAGCAGTTGTTCAGTAAATCTACACTGGTACTGAATTGACATTCTACATGTATGTTCCATGGAAATTTTGCTGATTTCAATAAAACAAATGTCAGCATTATCATGATTATAGTCATATCAGTTCCCCCCAAAATTTTTCTCCTCGGAGTGTGGGTGGGAAGAAGGTGTTTCACTATATCATGCTATTTAATCTTTTTCTTTCAGTACTTTTTAGTGAACAAATCTCTTCTTCTGTTTTATCATGTTTATAACGTTACAAAGAAAAAAAATCTTCATAACATGCTTAAGAACCAAAATGAAAAAAAATCCATTTTCTTTTAAATTCACAAAATAAGGTGTAAAATTGCGGATTGGCTAATATTCAGTGAAGTTGAATAGTTGAATTGTACAGTAAAAGTGATCTAAGGGGCACAGATCTGACAAACATCTATATTTTCTGGCTTCACCTTTATTTTGCTCTGCTCTTGTTTTGTATATTTGTTTAATGGACGTTGAGATTGAATACTGTTCGTTATTTCCATATCCTTATTGTATTAATTTTCTGTTTTAATTAATTAATTATGTTCATGGACAATGTTTTATTAGTTTTAAAAACTTCTTAAGGTTTGTTAGATGACTCAAAGTTATTATTTTTATTTCACCAATAAAAAGTATCACTTTTTTTCTGCTACAAAATCAGTACTTTCTAGATTTGTAGACTTCAGATGGAGGAACCTTTTTTTCTACAAGAAAAATGATTAAATTCAAACCTTGTACTTAGCCCATGAGGAAATCATATGATCAAATTAAAAAAGATTAATCAGATAATAATTTTCAAATGATTGATTGTTTGCATACTGTTTAACGTCCCTCTCCAGAATATTTCAGTGATATGGAGACGTCACCATTGCTGGTGAAGGGCTGCAAATTTAGGCCTATGCTCGGCACTCAGGGCCATTGAGCAGGGAGGGATCTTTATCGTGCCACACCTGCTGTGACACGGGGCCTCAGCCTATACTGTCTCATCCAAAGGACTGTCCCATTTAGTCGCCTTTTACGAGAAGCAAGGGGGTACTCAGGACCTATTCTAATTTTTAAATGAAATAGGAAGATAAAATATAGAAAGTACATAGTATCATATGTTTTTATTTTGGAAATGCCTTCATTGTGCATTAAAACAATATAGGACCTATTGTAAATTCTGCTTCATGTATTTGTTCTGATGTCCATTCTGAGAACATGACTGTTTTAGTTATAGATCCAATCAGTGATGATATAAATAAAGTAGATGAGTTGAAGAAGTTTCTGAGGAAGGAGAAGACAACTGTTTCCCATGCCAGAGGAATACTTGTTGGATGTGCTGAGGCTGGAAAAACAACGCTACTGAAAAGATTAAGAGGGCAAAGTCAAAATATCGGTGAAGTTACAGAGTCTACCAGGGGACTGGAAGTCCATCAACATCTCTTTATTGTTAGAGATGGAATTCTGGAAGGTAAAAATAAAAAAAAAATCTGATACAAATTCATAGTATAAATGATAGTCAGGTCACATTTATTGGTAAATTATAAATGAATTCAGAACTTATTCTGACTTGAAACTGAGATGATAATTTTTAGAAAATAAATTTATAGACGTTCGTTTCAATAAGTTCCCATAGACTTTGAACTTTCATTAGAGTCTACATAATCCCAATATGGCAAAAAAATTCCTTTCTCAAGGACTGAATACCGATTTTAAAAAAAAATTGGTGAACACTGATCAAGGACCCGATCAAGCCACGGAATAGCCAAACCGACAACTGCTCGTACTCGGTTTTCATATTGTCATGAAATAAGAACAAATAAGACTTAGTGTTGAAACTTCAGGAGTCCCTTTTATTTATTCGAAATACGATCAATCTTGTTGATATCAAGTATATTACCTGTAAAATACGATTGAAAACGTGCAATGACTTTATTTACATATACTTCCGGTATCTATAATAGTAGAACATCGATCGGAACAGAAAATTTCGGATTTTATTAACTTTCTAAATCTTTAACCCCCTGATCTCTCGAACTTTTCTTGCGGTCCCTTGAACTTCGAGAGATCGAGAGTCACCTGCATTTTCAACTTCACATGCTGACTCTATTAAACTCTATCAACAGTTTTTAACCTTGTCATAGATTTGACCTTGACATCATTTTAATGAAATTAGTGTCAAACTTCACATACATACTGATGCAAGCAATTCAACTTCATCACTATTCAAGATATTCTGATCAAATTTCATACGCTTATACGAATTTTCATGTTTCATCACTAATATACCCTCGACGGTGCATTCATGTACTATGGACATATTTCTAGTCAACTTGAATCAAGAATCATTGGGCAACTTTTAAACAAACTTAGTTTAAAACAACCTTGGATAAAGCTTATGGAGAAAACGAACAGCATTCAATTTTAAATTCAATAAAACATAACAAAATAGGAGCAGAGTAAACACGGACCTCAAAGACATCAGAGGTGGAATCAGGTGCCATGGAAGATTTACATACATTCAATTTGGAAATAATAATAAATTATAAACAGAAGCAAGAAATTAAACTTACAGTTACCAGAACTGAAATGATTTATAAATATAGAAAATATCATTGATGAAACTCAATTTCATGCAAATAAGACACACATATACCCTTACCTCACATGAGGTGTAAAGGTCAAACGTGAAATGCAGCAAGGCTATGGTTTACTTCATTGTGTTTCCCTGTATAATGAATTTATTAGACTTTGTAATCTTTACACTCTGTGTAAATAATTTACTCAATGACTGAAAAAGATAGGAAGGTTTTATGAAAATTTAACAAAATTATTTAATCATGTTCTCTCAGTCATTCTCCCATTTAAGACTATGAAAATAATACTCTGAATTAGGATAAAAATGCAGTAATATTAAATCTGTAATTTAAGCAAAATAACTTAACGTTAAATTTAAAATTGTAAACTGACTGCACTCTTAACAAAACGCATTATCACCTTACATTCGTATTCGAACATAATACGCCAAATCAAAACCAGTCACCGGTGTCAAAAGGTCTAAAAATAGTAGTTAATATGAATAACTCAAACCCGGCTAATTCGTATATATATTTTAATAAGTATATTTTAATTTTCATTTATCAAAGTGAAATAAATTCAAACATACACAAAATAATGTTTGACATACAAATCAAAATAAATATTTTCTGACTAAATACAGGATATCACATCATGACCGCGCGGTCATAAAAAGGTCAAAATTGGGGATTTTTATTATTATTTTTTTTTTACAAAGAAATAGGAATAAAAAAAAAATTAAATACAAATTTTAAAATCTTTTTCTCAAGAACAGGAAAAAATATATGCAGTAGTGATTTGGAGGCATCCTCAATTAGTATAAAGTTAAACCAGTTGTAGTGCACCCTTATTAAAAAAGTCATATATGTCACATTTTGTAAACGAATTTTATTTGTGTATTTGCAAACCTAGACTTTAATTTGATAAAAATTTTAGCGTAAAGTGGCATTGATGCCATTAATTATACCCAACGCAACAAGTTGCCTGAGGTATGTTTTCGACCCGTCCGTCAGTGTCAGTCAGAGTGTCCGTCAGTCCTTTTTTTGTCAGCGCAACTCCTCATAAACTGCTGCACAGAATTTCGTCAAACTTTGCAAATATTTAGGAAACAATATGTAGATTTGCATATTACAAGGACATTCTGATTCCATTATTTTCCCGAGAATTTTCCGCACTAAAAACTTAGGTGTTTAGCCATACCTTTTATATAGTGATGAACAGTTGTCAGCGCATCTCCTCACAAACTGCTTCACAGAATTTCGTCACACTTTGCAGGTATTTAGGACACAATGTGTAGATGTGCATATTACAAGGAAATTCCGATGCCATTAATTTTTAATTTTAGAATTTCCACACTTTTCATCTTAGATTTTTGGCCATACCTTGAATATAGAGATGAGGATTTTGTCAGCGTAACTCCACATAAACCACTGTACAGAACTTCGTCAAACTTGGGAGATATTTAGGACACAGCGTGAAGATATGCATATTACCAGGAAAATTCCAATTCTTGAATATACAAATGAACATATTTTCACTGCAACTCGATCCTCATAAACCGCTGTACAGAATTTCATCAAACTTTGCAGATATTTAGGACGCAATGTGTAGATGAGCATATTACCGGGAAATTCCGATTCTTTCATTTTTCCGGGATTTTCGGCACTTTGAGTTTTGGGGGAGCGTGGGGTATGTGAGCTTGCTCACTTTTTCTTTCATTCTTTTAGCCTAACATATTTACTAGTTCTTGTTATGCCCACGGTCATATAGGGCGAGCACTAAACTTATCCACTTCTCTCTATCTTTAACATTTTTCTCCAGTTGTCCACAAGTAAACTTCTGGTCCCTCATTTCTATTTCTTTAGTCACCTCCTCTTAGTTTTCCTCTTCCCTTCCGGTGTCCATCTAAGGACTTCTTTGGTGATGTTGTTAGATGGTTTTCTCAACACATGCCCTAGCCCTCACCATTTACGTTTAGTCAACACGCAGGTGACTTATGGCTACAATGTATCTGTTTTTCATTGGTCTTCGTACGTCGTTCGTCGTCCATTGATCATAAACTTTTAATATCTTTTGCATCTTCTCTGGTTAACCACTGAACCAATTGCAACCAAATTAACATGAAGCATGTATGATACATGAAAGAAAATAAAATCTAAAAATCATCTCTTTACTTTTAGGTATTAAGCTGATGAACTAAGTACACAGTAATAAGAAGAAAGAGTGCTTTTTTCTAAAATTATGAACTTTCATGGACCCCTGGCTCAGGGGTTCCATGGGGGGGGGCTTATTATGCCCATCTTTGAAGAATGGAGGGTATATTGCTTTGCTGTTGTCTGTTGATTGATCTGTCTGTTGGTCAACCATCAGTTTCCGTTCATTTTTTCGCATGCATTGCAATGAAATTTTGTAAACAAATTGATGTGTTATAGAACCTGCCATGATTAAAAGACAATATTTCCCATAATGTGAATGATGACATTCTGCATGATTGGTTTGTCAACAATAACGCTGCAGCTACTGTATACAGTTACTATATATGTTTAAAAATGAATTTATTTACTTATCAAAATAACAAATCTCTTTACAGTGGCTGAGGATGACTCACCATTGAAGTCATTTATCAGGATAAATGCTGCAGATTTAAAACCAGAAACGGGCAGTGCAACTGACATCTCCGATACAAATGAACAAGAGGACAATTTGGAGCAAGGAAGTACTGATAAAAACACTGAAGTAGTTTTAAATAGCAGAGAAGAAAAGAAAAAAGAGAATGTAGAGTTTTCTAGCCCACCAACTAAACGCAGAAAAGAAGATAATTCAGTAGATATAATGGCCAGTGCTCTCTCCTCAGAAGCTCCAGCTATGGTGAAGGATGAAATTTTTCAGAAAATCTTGTCTGATAAAGAAAAATTACCAACTGTTAGCATGCTGGATTTTGCTGGCCAGTTAGCGTATTATGCCTGTCACCAAATTTACGTAACACCAAAGGCCTTCTTCATCCTTGTGTTGGACATGACTAAGAAGTTCGAGGATGTGGTGGATCAAGAGAAAGATAATCAAGATGGATCAATCTTCTCCGTGTGGACTTACAAAGGTATAACACAATAAAGTGTCAAATTTTTTAAAGGTAGGTCCGGATTTTATATATCCGAAGTCTACGCAATTACTTATAATATTGTTCAAGGAAAGTAAACATCCAGTTATCATTTTTAAAATAGATTAAAATAGTCTTTTGAAAAGTCATGATTCGCTCCACTGGTCAGCCTCTAGAAGATCTTAAGGTATGTGATACTAAGGTGTCTGTCGCCTGTCCTTCTGTCTGTTAACAATTTCTCAAAACTTTAATCCTCCGACACTGACCGACAGTTTTGGTTTGATTTCAATATAGACTGCACTACATAATTAAGATACATAATTCTGTCTGTGTATCGGGATTTGATTTGAATGAATTTTGTCATGGTTACTTAAAAGAGAGATTTAGGAGGATACTTTCAAACACTACTCACCCCTTGGGAATCCAGGTTAGAATAGGTCCTTAGTGCCCCCTTGCTTGTCGTAAATGGTGAACTAAATTGGGCGTACTTTCGGATGAGACCGTATAAACTGAGGTCTCGTGTCACAGCAGGTGTAGCACAATAAAGATCCTTCCCTGCTCCAAGGCCGTAAGTGCCAAGCATATGCCTAAAGAGCAAGAGCCATCTTATGCATAATATGGCCCTGTATTTATATCAATAAATTAACTATCACCCTGTTTCCATTTTCATATATCAGAATAAAGTAGACACTTGATGCTTTCACGTTCTATAAAGTAATTTTGTTTTGAGTATACATATATTTGAAAAAAGGCTTTGAGAAGTTGCAATGTTCTTGAAATTTGCAGAAAATATGCATATTTGACTACCTTCAGCAAAGAATTAAAATATGAGCACAACCCAGGATCCAAAAAATAAAACATGTTTTTTGATCTTCAGAAATTGGCCTTTTAGTATTTATTTGAATATTTTATGACGTCATAATGCAATGACTAGATGTGAAATTATGTCACAATTAATAGATACCTGGTAACCAACAGTCCAAGTGATAAATACTGCATTTTCAACCTACACTAAGCGGTTTTGAATTTTCAGAAATTCTCAGGGCCAAATAAGACACAAAGTGACTCTACCTCTTTGCAGACTTTCAACGGCAATGGTGACGTCTCCATATCAGTAAAATATTCTGGAGAGGGGCGTTAAACAGTATACAATCAATCAAACAATACTCTCCCTACATTTTTGGTCTAATATCAGTATAAATTTGAACACATGTAGGCTATACTTAGATACATATATCTGTATATCAGATTTTCATTTTAATGAACGGTATTACCATGCTTACTAAAAATAGAAATTTCTGTGCAAAAATTCAAAACGTTACTCTTGCTACAAAGTGATCTGTTGTAAATATAACTTTGCTCACAAATAGACAACACATGATAAATGATTTTTATTAATCTTTTTTTTATTTCATTGAATTGTATTGCCATGGTAATGATATAGAATTTCTATGAGATACTTTCAAAATGCTACAACTACAGTTTTGATCAGAATTATAAATTGAATTTCAGGTGCAGCTTTTTTTTTCCATATTTTCAAGTACAAATCAGTAGAACTACACATTTAACAGAGACACCTGCCTGTTTTTTTTCTTATCGTGATGCTTTGTTTGTTCTTTAGGAATACCATTCTTTTTCTTTAGACTACTTGAAGTTTTGGATAACCTCAATCAAGACATTTGGAGGCCAAAAGGCACCACTGTTTCTTGTTGCCACACACACAGAGAAAAAATCTAAAGATGTAAGCATTCCGGCTGCATTTAGTTTAAAGTAAGTCGTATCACACAATTATGTATTACATGCAAAGTGGCATTATTATTCGAAACACGTATACCAGATCTACGGTTATAAGTTATAAGTTAAAACTAATTGCCATTTTTAATCCAAAATACACGATTTAAAGATTTTCAAAGATAAACACACAATTTAGCATTTACAGTAATAAAATCACAGTACAAAAATATTTATCAATACCCTATGCTTGTTTTGTTTACTTTTTCAGGAAATAGAGAAGTATTTTGGGGAGTTCTGGAATGCCGTACCAGATGAAGATAGAGATTGGTTAAGTGAGGCTCTGAATGATCGAGAATATGCAGTAGGTCTAAAGGAACTTAATGATAAAACCAAGGAAATACTGGAGTCAATGAAAAAATCCATAGTGGAACTATTCGCAGATGAGAACACAACAAAGGTTGAAATGCCTTCTTCATGGGCTTTATTGGAACAGTTATTGTATGAAGGAGGATGGAAGGTTTTGTCCCTGAGTAAAATCTGGAAGCTCAACTCATCTCTTCCCCATGAATACCAAATTAAAAGTGATGAGGAAATGTTTGAATTTTTAAAATGTTTCCATGACAATGGTCTTCTTTTGAATTTTGAAGAAGTGGAATTGAGGGAAAATGTTATACTAGACATTCAGTGGTTTGCTAATGCTTTCAGCAAGGTAATTGCTGATGAAAACCACATCAATAAAGATTGTAAAAGGAAATTAATCAAAGAGTGGAAATCTTTCAACAAAACAGGGGAACTTAAAGATAAAGTGATAATTGCACTGTGGAAAGATGAACCCTCTTACTCGAAACATAAAAGTGAAATTATGCTGTACATGGAAAAACTTCAAATGCTTGTACCTTTGAATTCATTTGAGGCTGTATCAGAAGGTGGCATGTCATGGTATGTCCCGTGTATGAACAAAAAGCAGTTTAAAGCTGACTTCTGTGATGATAAATGGGAGTGCTCATCCATTTTGTGCTATCGATTCACTTCATTTGCCATGTTTGTGTTCTACAGACTGGTAGCATACTGCTTAAGTTCTCTAAGATGGAGTGTTGCTAAAGATGAAGACAATGAAGGAAGTCTATGTCTTTATCAAACAGCAGCAGTGTTTGATCACAATGCACACACTGTTGTTGTTGGCATATGTAATGACGATATTCAGTTGCAAGTGTTCAGAATCAAACCATTAACTGTAGACAAAGAAGTATCAAATGAAATTGGAGACTCCATTGAAAAAGCCATAAAAAAATTGACAGAAACATTTATTGACACAAAAATATTCCACAGAGGATACAAATGTCAATTTGTTATTTGTAATGAGAAAGATTTATCTTTTACCCTAACAAGTGAGCTCTCCACAATCAAGGCTAAAGAAATTCAGTGCAAGTGTCAACTTCGAGAGAAACATGTGATAAATGTAGAAACCACTCTCGGATTCTGGGAAAAGGTAACTTTATTTATTCTTTATCCCCCCCGACAAACAAAAAATTAAAGGGTATTTAGAAATCCTGTCCGTCTGTCTGCCTGTTGGAATATCTAAATAATTATTTCCAGCATGTAATGTAAAAAAAATATGCCAATTACAAAAAAAAATGAAATGACAATAGATGTCAATACTTTACAATAAGACTGCTTACAGGTGTGCCTTAATTTTAAAGCAAGATCATCTGTCAAAGATAAAATCACTTTAAGAAAAATGCTTATGACCCCAGAGTGTGTGATGATTTGGAGATATTTTAAGTCATTTGCTCATTAACATAGAAAATACATCCATGTCCATAATTTTTAATGTAGGAATATTATTATTCATCAGTTTGGGGGGAAATGTAAGTTCCGCTGTATAATTGGTTAATCGCAATTGTAGTGAGATTCCACTTAATTTTCAACCGTATTTGTCCTCAATTTCATAAGAAAACTGTTGATTTTACTACAAGTCACACAAATTGGTACCCTTACATTTCAGGAATTTAATAAGATTTTCTGTTGATAACTCAATTGTTACATGAAACTTGATACTAATTCATGAATAATTTATGATACATTTTCATCAAACAAGAAATCCACAAATTATAACGACAGTTTCCAAAAAAGTGTGTTTTAAAAAAAGTGAAAAAAAGATACCACGCAGTATGACACAACTACTTCATATTGATATTCATGTACATATTATATTGGAAAAGAGGAATGGCAGTCTAGCATTAAACTTTTACATATTTATTATTATAAACCTGATGAACTCGCAGTCAACTTCCCTAATTTTTATATATCATTGTTAATGCAATACGCAAGAGCATATTCTTTGTACAAACAATTCTTCTGAAAAAGAAGTTGATGAATTAAGAGCATGTCTACTATGTCATTTGAATCAAGACATCACAAACTCCGTGGTCAATAGTATGACCTTGTGAAATTTTGAAATAACTGTGTATTGTCTCATGATATAGATATCAAGGTTTTACAGAATCTGAGTAAAATATGATTCTGTTCAAATAATTCTTTCATTTCACTTTAGCCATAATGTTCCAGATTAATATGATGTTACCAAATCGATGAAATTTACTGGTAAATTAACATCTTTTTCACGATAATTTACCTTCTTTGGTCTCAAATTCGATCCTTTGTGATGGTCACCATGGAATTTGAAAACAATGCCAAAATGTACTTGCATTTGGTTTAGCTTTGCTTAATATATGTGGAATAATATCTATAGATTTTGATCTTTATTAATTATTATTATGCATTTTAGCTAAGTTTGATTCACTTTTCCTTTTTTTCTAGAGAGAGGCGAATGATTCCAGTACTCCTGTGGCCTCTGGACAAAACCTAGAAGGCCGGTCTAGATTTGCAAAACTTGGCATGGCCACAAATGATGTGTTAAATAAGGCATACAGAGATATTCTAGAATCAGAAATTCCTGCATCTGATATTGAGAACAAGGTGAATTTATTATCAAACAAAAAAATGAAGAGTCTGAATCTAAATGCAAATCAAGAAGATCAATTGAAAAAAGCAAAGAATTCTGGATACAAGGAATTTGATATTTCATTAACATACAAACTGATAAGAAATATTTGTACTAAGATTCCTAAACCAACAAAAGGAAAGTGGGGAGAAGAGCCTTTAGCGGGAGAAGTGACTGTGGGTGACGATATAGAGAGAATTAGGTCAATACGAAACGGATTGACTGCACACGTGAATTCAGCCTCCACCCCTCAGACAGAATTCGATGACACCTGGTCGACGATGTCAGATATCTGCCAAAGATTGGAAACCTTCACTGGGAAAAAATATCTCAATGATCTTAATTCCATTGAAAAACTGACCTTAAGAAGAGAAGATGAGGATGCTATTATAAAAAATGTCAAAATGCAGGAAATCTGGGAAAAAATCAAATCTAATGTGCTCGAATTTGAAAAAAATGTTCAAGCTTAAAGAAGGTGCTACAAATTAGTAGCTCATAGAATGCTATGTAGATGTCAAACGTACCATGTGAAACTTGATTGGGATTCATAGATAATTTGCAGGATTTTGATATTCGGAATTAAGATTTGTCATGACTGAGTTTAAGAAAATGAAAGACACTGCTTTAGGTTTAAAACACTGCGTAACAATATCAGGTTTTAATCCTCGATAAATTTTATCTTTTATCAGTTAATATTTTTTTAACTTTGTTGAATTAACAAATATCATTTGAAATCGGACATCTGGTATTTACAGAATAATTTGTCATTTTTTTCCCTATGTCAAGGAGGACAACCTGATGGATTGTTTGGAGTTCAAAAAAGAGTAGGCTCCATAGGGGGCTGCCAGAGAAAGTATAATATTTCAGAATCCAATTATTAGAGTCCCCCAAGGATTTGCGGAGGCCCTATAGTTATCACTCTGTCTGTCCGTCTGTCATTTTTCCGTCCACAAATTTTCTGTTTTTTTCCTAATATCTCTTTTATGGGTGCCCAGTTAAGATCAAATTTAGTATGGTAGTTCAATAGGCATAAAGACATGTTTTGGTGCTAAGTTTTTTTCACTTTGTCCCCTGGTTTGGGGATTAAGGTGGTGGGGTAGATTCCTTACTTTATTATAGGATTAAACGTTCTTTTTGAAAAATTTATCGATGTGTAAACTCTTACCAATTTACTCACAAACTAAATAAAAGTGCAAAGCACTTTTATGTTATTAATAAGTTTGTGAGAAAAATGTCAAGAGTTTACACATCGATAATTTTTTCAAAAAGATAAGGATATGGAAATAACGAACAGTATTCAATCTCAACGTCCATTAAACAAATATACAAAATAAGAGCAGAGCAAACACGGACCTCCGAAACATCAGAGGTTGGATCAGGTGCCATGGAGGAGTGAGCATCCCCTGCTGACCGGTCACACCCGCCGTGTGCTCGTTGTCATAATCAGAATATAACGGAAAAAATCCGTGGTCAATTCAGTGTATAAATAATGGACTAACAATTGGTATGAAAAACGTCAGTCAGCATTTCATTCAATGATAAATTGTATTTGCTGACAAGGTCATTGTATCGACCATAGAATTTACGAAATGATGACTTTAAACGAGATTGTTGATATTCTTGTTTCATCAACTTGCTTGTCAATAATTTACCTCGTTTAAGAAATTGTTCATACGTAGAGCATGCTCTTGCGTATCGAATCAACTGAGATATAAATACTCCGTATGCAGGTGATGAAGGTATATTGCTGCATAAGTAAGGGAAGTTGACGATAGAAAAGTTAAAGTCATCACGTTTATCATATAGCTTGGTTGTTAGATTACCATTAGTGTCTTTTTCAAGTAAAATATCCAAGTATGAAGCAGAAGTGTCGGACTCTATGGTATCTTTTATTTCAAGCTCACCAGGATATATCGTGTCGACGTAGGAATGGAAATTATCATTATTAATAGACAATACGTCGTCGATATATCTAAATGTCGAGTTGAAGGCCACAGCAAGTGTTTTCTTCTTTTCACGTAAAAGATTTTGCATAAATTCTGCTTCATATGAATATAAAAATAAGTCTGCTAATAACGGAGCGCAATTTGTACCCATGGGAATTCCAATAGATTGTTGGAATACCTGGTCTCCAAAAACCACATAGATATTGTCAATCAGAAACTCAAGCATCTTCTTGATGTCAACTTCAGAGTACTTATGTGTACAATCAGAATCTGTTTTAACAAAATAATTTTTCAAATGACCAATGACGAGGTAAGTAAACTTACGAGTTCCATTTTTGTTGAAGAAGCAGCTGTCAATGATATCAAAAAGCCTGGATTTTAATTTGTCGTGCGGAATTGTTGTGTATAAAGTTGAAAAGTCGTAAGTTTTTATGCTGTTGATTTTTGTAAAGTCTTGTGATTTCAAATTGTCCAAAAGTTCTTTAGAATTTTTAAGTATCCACATCTGATTTACACCACTTCTTGAATATATAGTTGTACAGTACTCTTGAAGTTTTTCCTTCACTACTGTCAATATTTTAGTGAGAAGTAACGAAAGAGGCTTGGTTGAACATTTACTGGAACCTGCAATGTATCTTTGTTTGTAAGGATTCTTATGAAGTTTCGGAATCCAATATATATAAGGAAGTTCAAATTCATTTTGGCTCTGTGGAATATTAAAAGTATTCAAAACTGACAGGTGATTTTGAAGGATTTCTTCCTTAGAAAGATTAGTATATGTATAAGTAGGATTACCACTCGTAGAATTAAATCCAAGTTCTTCTAAAATGCAATTAATATAATGAGCCTTACAAACGAAGACAATGTTGTTACCTGCTTTGTCGGCAGGAACCAGTACGTACTGATCGTGTAATCTATCTAATTCTTTTTTCACTTCTGGTTTATTGAACACAGAAGGATAGATGGTTTTCATTTTGCCCCTCAATCTATTAATACGTGACTTTAACATGGATCTGATACATTTAATCCATTCTGACAAGGTGTCAATGTCTTCTTTTTCATATCTAGCCCATCGTCTGGCGTAATTTTCAACAGAATCCATAATATTTATGAAATTCTGACGCCAGTTGAAGGATCGGGGTTCCCTATATTTAGGACCTTTTAAAATAAGTGATTTAAGGTCCTCATTACGAACTATATTTACGTCACCTGTAATAACGTGTCCAGCAGGACTATAGTTATAGGGCGAAGAAGAACATGAACACGAAAGGGGATTATTTTTTAGATAGTCGATATCCAGGCCATGTAAAGTATTTTTGTAATTGAAAAGTTTGGAAGCTATGGTCGATGTATATTTGTAGGAAATACAAGGCGTAGTCTTTAACTTGAAATATGGTGGAATATAAGAACGTTTAATTCTTATCATTCCAATATCGAATTTTTAAAAAAAATATTTAAATTATTTCTCTTTGAGGTATTTCTGGACGGCGTATGAATATATTTTACCGTGAAGGAACGTAATCGAGATGGATTTCGATACAGTTCAACTTAAATTGTCAAAACAATCGATAAATAAACTTATAACAACTAATGGAATGTTGTTTAAGTCAACAAATATCGTAATTACGAGTTTACTTCACAATAGTTTGTCCTTGACCATAGCTATGTTGACATAAACAACAACTCTCATAGCGAAACTTGCAGACCGACGGCGCTTTCAATTTGCACTTGTTTATTTAAATATTGAGGAACAATGTAGAAAGTTAATATGAATTTGATGCTTATAGGGCAAGAGTTTGAGGTATGTCTCATTTTCCTGTCAAAACGATACAGACTAAGCTCATTTTCTACGTATGAACGTTGAGACAGCGATTTTAAAATTCACACTCGTGATCGGACAGTGACATAAACATTTCCACGGCGTCCATCAGTAAGCAGTTTAGTATGTTGCCAGTTTTGTCTAAGCCCTAATTAAATTTAAAGTTTCTTCCATTCATTATTTAGCCAGAACAGACCCAGAAATAACTGCTTTCATTGTTTATACGATAACCTAGTAGTGTCATCAAGAAAGTAGATCTGATTGAAAGAATTTATCGATGTGTACAAATTTTCTGGAACGTGTTCTCGTCCAATTAAAACACAGGAAATCAATAGATAAAATGAAGATTGGAATAATATTAGAATACATTGGCAAAGAGAGATTGTACTGCTGAAATGTTCCTTTTGTAAACTGGAATGCTGCTATGAGACCCTTGTGATTAAAAAGTTTTCCTTCTGAAGAAAATCCAAGGCATTATCTTTATTAGTCACATTGACGGCCTCTGTCTGTAAATGAAGTTTCTAATGAATATTAGTCAATTTGGAATGCTATGTACACTCTGAAATGTGGATTTGAATATAAATGTTTATACTTTATTTTTGTTAAAATACCCTTCACAATGAATTATAATTTTATTGAGCTCTTAATATAAGAAATAGTTGAGAAAAGATATATTTATATCTCCTTTTTAGCTCACCTCGACGAAGTCGAGATGAGCTTATGCTATACCCCCGGCGTTGGCGTCGGTGTCCCAGGTTAAAGTTTTAGGAGCAAGTCCATTCCCAAGTAACTATAAGCCCTATCTGAACCAAACTTGCATGAATGATGCATCTAGGGATGTACACTACCAAACTTGCTTTGGATGCTGGATCTGATCTACATTTTCTAGATGAGTGACCAGGTTAAAGATTTTGGAGCAGGTTAAAGGTTTTGGAGCAGGTCCATTCCCAATGAATTATAAGCCCTACCCAGACCAAACTTGCATGGATGATGCATCTATGAATAAACACTGCCATACTTGCTTCAGATTCTGGATCTGACCTACATTTTCCAGATGAGTCCCAAGGTTAAAGATTTTGGAGCAGGTTAAAGTCTTTGGAGCAGGTCCATACCCAAGGAATTATAAGCCCTACCCAGACCACTCTTGCATGAATGATGCATCTATGAATGTACACTACCAGACTTGCTTCGGATGCTGGATCTGACCTATAATTTCCAGATGAGTGACCAGGTCAAAAATTTTTGAGCAGGTCTATTCCCAAGTAACTATAAGCCCTACCTGAACCAAACCTGCATGGATGATGCATCTAGGGATGTACACTACCGGACTTGCTTCAGATGCTGGATCTGACCTACATTGTCTAGATGAGTGACCAGGTTAAAGTTTTTGGAGCAGGTCCATTCTTCGGGAACTATAAGCCTTATTTGAAGTCAAGATGAGCTTATGCTATACCCCCGGCGTTGACGTCGGCGTCGATGTTGGCGTCGGCGTCACAGGTTAAAGTTTTAGGACCAAGTCCATTCCCTGAACAAAACTTGCATGGATGATGCATCTAAGGATGTACACTACCAGACTTGCTTTGGATGCTGGATCTGATCTACATTTTCTAGATGAGTGACCAGGTTTAAGTTTTTGAAGCAGGTTAAAGTTTTTGGAGCTGGTCCATTCCCAAGGAATAATAAGCCCTACCCAGATCAAACTTGCATGGATGATGCATCTATGAATGTACACTGCCAGACTTTCTTCAGATGCTTGATCTGACCTACATATTCCAGATGAGAGACCAGGTTAAAGATTTTGGAGCAGGTTAAACTTTTTGGAGCAGGTCCATATCCAAGGAATTATAAGCCCTACCCAGGGCAAACTTGCATGGATGATGCATCTATGAATGTACACTGCCAGACTTGTTTCAGATGCTGGATCTGACCTACATTTTCCGTATGATTCCCCAGGTTAAAGATTTTGGAGCAGGT